TTTGAATATCGCACCCACTTTGAAAGATGACTGCAGTCTACCTTTATGCCTCACTATGCTCTGCTACCTGGCGCAACCCTCAAAACTATAGCTAATGGTATCAGAATGTCGTTGGGCTGGTGCATCTCAGGTCTGTTTTCAATAATCTGCCATTTCCAACTGTATTTCATCCGCAGTTACAGGTGTGTTGATCGTCGACAAAATGGAATGTGAAACGTTTAGGCCAACATTTTGTGCTGTTGGGTAAGCAAATTCACCCAACTTAGCACATGGTATGCGTGTTGCAAAGCAGTCGCTAATGAGTAACTGATGACTGGACTCCGGTTTCTTAAAGAAAATCAAGGTAAACCAATTCCCTTTCAACAGTAAGCACGGACTGTTTTCTATCTTGTTCCTGAATCACTTCGTCACGGGTACGTTTGCACAACTACTCTTGAAAATATTTGTATGCCTTTGGCTCCCTGAGGCTTGCAGAACAATCATTATCAGGGTCCCGTGTTGTTATTTGCCTACAAAGTTGTTTTTGCTCACCGAAGTCCCGCACAAAAACGGATAGCATGACAATGTGAGTTCAAAGTTCAGATATTATTGCCAGTCTTATAGTTTTTAATTTAATTCTCTTCCCTTAGCTTCCAAATGTTTAAATTACCATTAAAGTAAGAGAATATTTTGTACTCGGGTATCGCCACAGACCAATCATGTTACCCTATACGACGCACAGTCACCTCGATTGGCAATTACACATTTGTGATCAAATCGTCTCCCTCATCGAAAAAATCAGAAACCACATACTCATAAGGGAAACTACTCACAAGTTTATATCTTATCTTCGACAGTCCACGACCGGTTTCGCCCTTCTTGGGGCTCATCAGGTAGGCGCAATCCCCGAGTTTCCGTCAACCTTCTGCTTGAACTGAACCCAAATTGAACTGTTTTCGAGAAATACACTCATTTACAAATCAATTTGGTTTTCACGGGAGACTCAACTGAAACTCTCGTATATGATATTCTACAACTGAATGTGCTGCACACAGGCCGCCTCATGTTTCGGTTGGCACGATATTCGAGATATCGCAGTATATGTTTATGAAGGAAACTACTCACAAGGTTGAGTCTCTCGTGAAAGCCAAACTGATTTGCAAACGAGTGTATTTCCCAAAAGCTGTATACTTTGGTTATGCTCAGTAAGAAACGAAGTTCTGAATGCCATCCTCAAATTGGATCTACCTTCATCTTATATCAGTGTTGAAATAAGCAAACGGACATAATTTTTTCACTTTCCAAATCAAAATGAAAACAATCTTTCGAAATCACATTTTTGGTCACTTTACGCACACATTTTCTAAACTTAATGCAGCTGTCAAGTTGATGAGTTGAAGGCTTGCGTTTACAAATTTCATACATTAGCAAAATACACTCATTTGCAACTCATTTGGGTTTTTCGAGAGACTCCCCTGGAACCCAGATGACTCTCTCGTTTGTGATGTTCTCAGGCAAATGAGTGTATATTCGCTAATTTCAGCAACCTTATGAGTAGCGCATCACAAATATCGTCCATTAGTTTGTAAACTAAGGGTGCCTTGTAAATGTACCGGTAACGGTCCTAAAGACTACAAACTACTTTTGTTGACAGTTACACGTTTTCTTATGTATTCGTTCTAATTACAGGTACCAAACTAAGGTTAAGGCAGATGTGGTACCGATTAGCAACCATAGCTTGTAGTAAGGCAACATAATTTGTCCCGGAAAAAGCCACATTGGACCTTAATTTTTTGTCTTCCTGCATACTTAATTACACGGAGCACGCGATTGATACACTTTCTTACCCAGGATTTTTGCTTTCCCTATTGCTAAAAACATCACGTGTCGGAACTAATATAAGTAATCGAAATAGCCAGAAAAAACCATGATATAATGAACCCGAGTATTTCTAATATATGATACATGCATTAGTTTGAATGGGGTCAGTGTTTCCACAGAACTGCCGGACAGACCTGTTTTGTGTTTTCACACCCTCGGGGAGACAACTATTGATCCAGCTATCCATTTCAGAATTAATTACTCCAGGGGCGAGATGATCAAAGTGGTTACAGCGCGAATTCACTGACCGAAGGGTCTGTGGTTCGAACCCGACCTCTGCCTCTCGACTTCCCCTGTCTAGTCTTGGGCAATCTGACAGTATCCCAACTTTCGTGCAAATCTTTACTGTCTATGAATGACTGGGCAGTGGTTCTGCGATAGCTTTCACGAGAATTCCGTATGGTTTCACTGAGGATTTAGAAGCCTTATGTTACCGTATTTAACGGTTCACATAGGTTTGTGGCCATGAAAAATTTCTAAGTACATCTCAAATTCAGGTCCATACGTTTACATGTCTGATGAAGACATCTAAGTAAAATGATAACATCTAGGCTGAGGACTGTGCAATGGCTTAGGTTGTAGCAGTGTGAAACGGAGTTTCTGGTTCTAACAACGTATGTAATGAAAGAGATGTTACAAGAATACCCCGTTGGACAAAAAAATTATCCAGCCGACCTCCTCACCAATCTTTATAATGTTCAGCTTTGGTACCGACATCGTGCTTTACGGTGTGAAATACTCACCTATCCCCCCAGATACATACCACACCCATGCGAGAACATCCTTCGGAGGGGACTATGCTGGCTGGATTCCTTGCAGCGCATTTCGACCGAAAACTATTTTTCAAAAGAGATCTGATTAAGCAGACCAATTTAACCAGTGTACTGTGGTGACCACTAATGGAAGTTTACGCAACATATTCTGCATTGCATTTATCTCCAACTTAAGTATTGTCCTTGTGCTATACAGTTAGAATATCGTTCTACCACCTAACCGAGTTAACACTGAGATTTTTCTTAAACATTGTTTACAACTTCCTTTCAATGGTCTGACGCCAAATGAAGCATCGGTAATACTAACAACTAATTTGGATTTGATTAAAATATAGTGTCTAGTAAGGGAATGTTTCGGCTCGATGTGATTGCCTAAGAGCGAGATTAACTCGCACTTAGACTGCCACGCATTCTTTATTCGCCCACTTCACATCACCTGACTGGGTGGTACTGGGTCCGGGCTAATATCAGTTTTATCCTCCTACTCACGATCCACTTGTGATTAAAATGTGGAATATTAAATACTTCGATCTGAACGCTTTTTAGAATAGATTTGCCTGGAGTCTGGTGAGATGCGCACTGGACATTGTTAATGTAGAGTGCTCATATACGTTGCAGTAACGATCATACAGCTGTAAAACCCTTTTATCTCCTAGTCGCCATGCCACCCGAAGTAACCCCGAGGGCTGGGAAACTGCCAGGTTATCCAAGCCTAGGCCGAAGCAGTAGAACTGCAGAGGTCAGTTTCGAACTACGGACTTTTCGACCAATAAATTCGCGGATTAACCGCTGAGCCAGCCCGGGCTCTATTACGAAAGTCACAATCATCCTTCTTAATGAGAACCCTGGCTCAATGAATCTAGTGGGAATCAGTTTAGATCCATGAGTTAGTCCCACTGTTCAAGTAATTCAGGTATTTTTTTCAACAGCGAGAAACTCGGACCATCAGTTCTAGTGAACCAGTTCAATTTTTGTCTAGACACATTGAGCATTGGCTGCAAAGCTTACAAGGTTTGTGGACCTTGCATTCCCATTATTTCTTTTTGAGCATTCCTGATCGTATCCTGACCCTGTGGTAAGTCCACATTGGATTGGATTCCTGACAGGCGAGGATAAACCAGTTGACGCATTCAGAAAAGTCACTGAGTGGTTGTTTGAGTATTTGGTCGAACTAATCAAAGTTCACGCTCGCCTATTCAGACATGATAGTTTAGACGCATTGGACAAGTGAACTTTGGTTAACACCCTCGCCTCGGATTTCAAATCTCAGGCACTGTTGGTGAGTGACTGAAGACCAATACCCACGCACTTTGGTGTAGATTCACTAGAAGAGGAGGACGGTTCAAGAACACTGTGCAGTTGCAAGTATTTAGCACTGCTCTTCTTTGAAGCATAATCTCTTCAGAAGCATTCTTACAAGTGGATATGGAAGGGTATGAGGTTTAGCGTAAACGAAAAACAAACAGGACAGTATTGTGCTGTTTTTTCAAGCTAAGCTTATGCGGTCCGTCAGTAGCGTGCTAATTCATGGGGCCGACCGATGAAAAAATTTCCACAGTAGATTTCGTTACTAATAGGAAAAATAACTTTAGAAACCCGCTAGGGCGCTTCGTCATACGAAAAGCACAACCTGGCCGAAAAATCTGAAAGTTGTAGACGACAGCGAAGGCTCAGTTCCATGGATCCATTCAGACCAGTTCAGAGAGCTTAAAAAACTACGGCCACCAACTTGTGTACTGCTGAAACTCGTCGACTAGTCTAGTCCACAAATGTACTGCAGTTCCAAATGTTTACTGAAATGTAGGTCAATCAGACCCTACTTGAAAGGGGGAATTAGGTCGAATTATTTTAGTGATGTCTATGAGGCAAACTACTTGGCATCTCAGGTTATCACGAAGCTGTGGTAACAATGGTGGCTGCACAGATATATATGGTTCTACAGACAGCGAGATTGCTCACGTGGTTAGAGCGCGTATTTACTGACCGGAATGTTCGTGGTTTGAACCCGACCTCCGCATCTCGACTTCCCCTGTCTAGGCTTGGGCAACCCTCGTGCTTCTTTCCAGTGGTATGTCAGCCAGGGACCAGAAGGATGTTACGGCTGAACGTTTTTTTACAGACAGCCTGTAGACTTTACATCTAGGCCGTAATATCTCCCTATATTATCATTCTTACCATTACTATTTTCTATCTAGAGTTCTTTTAGAAGATGCAAGTTTGCCATTGCACTTTTACCGTAATTGGAAATCGAGATCTTTCAAATGAGACTCTCACAGACATGAACATACTATAGTTCTCTTTTTGGGACAAACACTTAGTTGCAAAATCCCCCAAAATGGACAGTAGTCTCAAGAGCACTGAGTATCACGCTTTTGTTCCTGTTGAACATTTTGAGTGAGACGTGTCGGACTCTCCTCATATATATTGCTTAAGTGGCTTCGCCTTTGTTATTTGAGATGTGAAGGGTGAGAACTAGTATTAATTTGCAAAGCTAAGATGTGGGTTTTTTCGTAAACCATAACAATTACCCTTCAATAAATGCCCACGAGGAAAGACTGAATGCAATTTTGAAAGGGGTTCCTTCAGAGCGCACGGGTCGCACGTTTATAGCTGGTTTGAATAAGTGAGCAAATTAAATGCCAATACAATACAGTATGGCATCGGCAATAGAGGAGTGAACTCATTGTAACTGCTTAGAGTGCAAAATCTTGCTTAAAAAACCCTTGCTCATTCAAGCGAGTTCCACTAGAAAACCAATCGTTGGGTTAATTGTGATATATCGGGATTTTCCTGCGTCCCTATTAGCATTGTGTTCCCGGAAAAAAATAGAGCCTACTAGTTGTTGGTCTGTTCGCCGAGCTTGGTAATTGACGTGCAAACGTTTCGTCGCTTTATGAGAAGACATCTTCGTTGTACAGTTGGATGGAACATTCTGCCCAGCGCAGAAGCAGCTGAACGCATCATATACGTGTGTGATGTGTGAGGCGCAACCTTTTGCTGCGGTCAGCACCAAGAAAGACGAGTCTTTGGTGTAAAATCGCGTTCTGAAAAGCTGAAGGACAATTTAATTTTGGGCAAACTGTAAGAGTTGCCATCCTTTTCATTGGCCTAAACGGTAATCCTGCCGCTCACAAGCAGTTTAGTGCTGTTCTAGGAGCGAAAAGCTGGAGAAAAGCTAGTGGATTCGCTGATGGCATCTGCGGTTCATTTAAGCAACAGAGTTTAGAGAAATTCTGAATCACATGCCTTCTGAGCCTTCAGTGGAGGGACACCTTAAGCATCCATCAGACTTTTGGATTCTTATGTTTGGAACATAAGTGACAGAGAATGTGGCTGGTTTTTCTGGAGGTTTTGATGCATTCTCGCCTGAAGTAAAAAGACCCCTTGTTGTTAGAACAAAGGTTTGGTCTATCAGCGCACACAGTTCCAAGGCGGTCTAAGCTTCAACACAGATTTTCCTGTCCAGAACGCGATCATCAAAGTGCCTACTCAAACATTCCACTCGAGACGTTAACCTTCCAATCTCGTCTTGCTTCTCCATCTTATCGCCTGTCTCCGTGCTGTTTCACTGATTCTTGGGAAACAAACTATAACCCACCGGTACAAAAATAAATTGTTTTTGCGTTAATCCAAAGTTTTAAACGCTTGCTGATCCTTCATAATGCAAGAAGGCAACTGAGTGTTACAAGTCATAGTCCTACAGAGACTGCCATTATATTGCTAAACATTCTGCAGCCCTTACAAAACGCAGCGACCAAAGGGATAAAACGGATATAGTTAAGTGCAATGAGACTCTTGGAAAGTGGCTTATTCAGATGGACATCGAGCCTTTCAGGGAAGAGTGCGGGATTAATTTGGTCGGAGAAAATGCATGAAGTGCCAGTGTTGATAGGGATAACTGAGCAGGTTGAATATTTCAATAAAGGAGGGGTTCATGCAAGGCTTATGTAACTAGTGTCACGGTTTGCACCTAATAAATTTACTTAGACCTTTCATTTATGCATTAAAAGACCGATTGCTTCTCCTATAGTCTGAGTGGGGTGGGATCTATAATTGGGGGTCAAAGGGATCGAGGACAAAATGGTCCCGTCAGTTTGCAAAATTTGAAAAGAAAATCAGGTAGATACACCAAGAAGTCTATTACTAAGATACTATGTGCGCTATAGCTTTCCCTACTGGAAGTGTCCACCATTAGTAAGAGACCAGTTCATACTTCTCTGGGAGTGAAGTGAGCTGATGAGATAATGTNTCTATTATTAAGATACTATGTGCGCTATAGCTTTCCCTACTGGAAGTGTCCACCATTAGTAAGAGACCAGTTCATACTTCTCTGGGAGTGAAGTGAGCTGATGAGATAATGTCCCACATTTCGCTTCAATGCAGAAGGTTGCTGCTGTGTGACTACAGCTGTACTACTCAGTGTTCTTTGACTGTAGCGGTTTGTCTCCCACTTATCTCGTCGCCAGAACAAATTTGGCTACTGGCTCAGAGCAAATTTATTGGCTGATTGACAAGCTACCTAACTTTTGTTTAATGGTGTTTTGCCCGCTTATACCTGGTTACTTTCCACATGATACCTGTCACAATTTTTACTCGCCCTCATTTCAGGTGGATTTAGCCAAAACGGAGACTAATTAATGACATTATCGATTGCTTCCAGTTGGGTTACATTGAGTTACATACAGAACCTCAAAAGTTAAATCTTTCGCATGGAAGTTTCTCAAGGACATAATAATAAGATTGTGAAAACCTCAAATCGTGGGATTATGCTGGCTTCTATATACCGGTTTATGATATGCCAATTCTAAATGGGATCATGTACAAATAGTTAGCTAGGTAGCGAAATGCTTATCCAAAGCTCACACCGACTCAAAGCAATGTTGTCACAAGATGATTGATTTAGACTGGATATGTGATGACAAGGTCAAAGAGCGATCTACTTCTAGGTCAAAACAAGAAAGGCGTTATAGGCACAAAAGGGAAACAAAGTGGGGAGTCACGTCTTACACAATAAGCATAAGAGTGAAGAATAAACAAACAACTCTCAGAATTTCCGTAATTCTCCTGTCACTCAAAAGAGTAGTCACTGGTAGGCTTCCGTCGAAGGATTATACAAATTATAACGTTACGTTTCCAATAAAACCACATTTTGCAACATAGACTTCGCTGTGTTCTCCAATTAAAGAATACTATGTAGAATTCTGATAAATGACAGATCACCATGAGAGTAGCGAGACTCCACCTAGACTTAAAACCTATGGGTAGATAAATGTATAAGACCATTATTTGCCACATGCAAACGCTACGATGAGTTAATGTTACGATTTAAATGAGAGAGTAAACGTTGTTCTTATTTGTCTCGGGTGAATTTGGACACAAATGTCCTGCATACATTCTTTTTATCCCCTTGTTTAATTGCTTGAGCATCACATATTTTGAGATTTTCAAATCACTCATCATTCAGATCTTTCACGACTTTGCAACTTCTCTCGTTTGCCCATTTCTTTCAAAAGGGAACTTAACGGTCTAACTATACGGGACGTTCAGTTTAAGAGGGTTACTGCTTACTGAGCTTTAGGAAAGAATATTAACTAGTTGTAAAACGGGTTTTTGTTTCAAATTCAGTCCCTAGGGTAACAATCGGAATTCACGTGGGACATGGGAACAACGTCCTTCTCATAAAAGAAAGATTCAGTTGAGTCTCTCGTGAAGACCAATGGATAAATTACTGCTTACTGAGCTTTAGGAAAGAATATTAACTAGTTGTAAAACGGGTTTTTGTTTCAAATTCAGTCCCTAGGGTAACAATCGGAATTCACGTGGGACATGGGAACAACGTCCTTCTCATAAAAGAAAGATTCAGTTGAGTCTCTCGTGAAGACCAAATGGATAAATGTAAATGTCGAAAAATGTCAATCTTACTTTACGAATGAGGTGAAGTCACGCTCGCTGTTACGTCACTTGGGAGGCCTGTCAGCTGAAGACAGGTGATAGATTTCTGACTGACCGTTCAGTATTTAAAAGCGTCTCCTGCGACTAGTGATAGAATTTCGGTTTCAGGGTAGATACGCTGACTAATCCCATGTCCATCTTTGTAGCCAACGTCGGTGGTGAATACCACTGTCAACATTTGTGTTCTTCACGCATATCCTCACTTGAATGAAATTCTTAATTCACCTCAGTGAATTGTTCTCTTCTCGGAATGTTTTGAAACCAGGTGCGCAAACAGATTCGTACAGTTTGGTCGAAGTCTTATTTACGGAATTATGGAAACAAAGGTTTCACAAGACTGCATTTTCACTTTATCGCCGCAAGGGTGGAATCACAGCGTTATTCACACGTTCCGGACAAAAAAGCCAACATATAATTTTTAATCCAATCTTCGAAGTTAGGATGATTTTGAAGACCTTGCCTCATTGCAAAGTTTCTCTGCTTTTGGTAAAGCTTTTCTTGCTGTTATATTCTGGAGCGAGCAAGCTCCACTGTTCAGCCTGCACTGTTTCTATCCGTTCTCCACTTTGAGTCTTTCGTGTCAGCTGGGTTACCAAAACAGAGAAATTAGTGGAGCAATAGCTCATGCATGGTTTATGACAACTTGTGCCATAAAAGCGGTTTGTTGTTCAGTAGGTCCTATTGTTGGATCACGTATGGAACACATGTGGAACACAATAAACAAAAAATGCGATAAACATCAGCAAGTCATCATTTACTTGTATATATTATATTTATATATATATATATAATCAGAAAGCTGTGAGCCGGTAGAAATATCGAGCGAAAACCCGAGGGTAGATACAGCAGTTTAGTTACCACAAAAATAATCGGGCTTTGTAAGTAATGTCAAGCATTTGTGAGAGGACGCGAATCATAATTACAGTTCTTTACGAGAATCATTAGGCACGCTCTTTGTTCACATAATAGAAAAATGAGCATTCACACACACTCACACCCACACAATCTGTGGTGTATTTTCCACTGCGCACACAGTTAGCAAAAAACAGTGTACGGAACTATACATTCTACGGTCTCACATGTAGTTTTAGTCGCGAATTCTTTGG